GCGATTGGGTCCCCTTAAAAACCCCAGTCGCCCTTTAAAAAGGGGAGTATATAAGGTATTTATCCCGCTTTCCTAACGTGCCTTCGTGGTGTAGTGCTCAGCACACTGAGCCGGTATTTCAGAGATCCGTGGTTCGATTCCCGGCAAAGGCGTTGCTTATTTTTCATCTTTCCTGCTTCAAAAAAATCCTAATGTCTCTACAAGCATAGAGTTTATATGGATATCAATAAATTAAGGATTATTTCTCCATCTAATTTTCTTAACATGTTTATTCCAGAATATTCTTTCCACACTGTAGCGCTTAACTTTATGAGTTTTCCATAATCATTCAATTTCTGTAGCTATGGTAACTTTGCATACCTTCTGACAAGGAGTTATATTTTTAACCACTGTATTTTAATTCCTGTTGACCATCAGTATATTATTCACTTGTTTCACAAGTGCAGATATTTATTTTCTACGCAAATCTACGTAAAATAGCAATAAAACTTCAGTTATGCGGTGCTCCTGATCGATTGCTTGTTTCAGATAGAATGAAATTAAGCTTAATGTTACTGTTAATTAGCTTGTTATTAATTTAATTGTACGTTTCTAATTAATGATATGTTCAGATATTTCCAAGTATATTACACAAACTTTTGCATCCCAATTTTTAGTTTTTGGTTAAAAAAATAAGCTTTTATTTACTGAGAGGCCTGATTAATTACATTAGTTTGCAGTACTGTTATCTTAATTCTTTCCTTCTAGATAAATTTTAGAAAAAACTTCTTAGCATAATAATTTAAATTTTTTTACAATTCATACGTCAGTGTTCCAAACGCATAGTAATGTTGTTATAATAGATTTCATGCTAAGCTTTTTTTAAATTTAACTATTAATTTCTGCAAACATTTACATGATTACTTTAATTAACCAAAAAATATTTAGCACCTTAAACATTTCATCGGAAATCTTTGACGCAGTGAATTATCATTTCCAGCTGTTAGACTTTGATATATGACAATTTAAAAAAATAATGGTTCTTTAATTATTTAATTATAATACTGTGGTTGTCGCTGAACAAAAACACAACAAATAGTAATATTATGGGAAAATTTATGCATACTTTTTTCTACTGCATGTCGTCTGATATGATCACACATGTGCCTAAAAGTGTATCTAAAAGAAAAACAAAGCTATATTTCAATATTAACAAAAAAAAAAAAAAAAAAAAATTGTTTACAGATTAAAATTCATTCATTTTCAAGTATTATAAGAATCACGCATGAAACAAATCTGCTTTCCCATACTATTAAGTAAAAGTTAACTGAAATTTTATACTGGAAAATATGCTATATTTCTATATATTACAAACAAGAAAAAAATACCATAATAATATACTCATAGCCTAGGAGAAAGTAACACATACAACATCAAACAAAGAAATTGAAATTTGTATAGTCATAACCTAGGAAAAAGTAATACATATTACATAAAATACAGAAGTTATTCAACGTAAAACACACATATCTTCTAAAATCTCCTTTGTGGGTTTATATTTCGATTATTAGTAGAGGATACAGGAATAAAGTAATTTGACTGATATTTAGCATATAACGACAACACATCACACCTTAATGCTCTAAGACCTTCAATAGTTGCAACATTCTTTGATAAATTCTCAAACAATTTCATTGTTTCCTGTCTAATACTTTCGCAACTTTCAGCATTTTGTTCACTCGTTATTTCATTAACTATCGCCGAACGTTCTTTCGGCATGCCTGGAATCCCTCTCAGTCACATCAATTACCAAATTATCTGAATGAAACTCATCATTTTCTGTCACACCAGATCTCTGAACTTCAGTTACCTGGTTTTGACATACGTGATGAATATGCTTACAAATACTGAAACGGATACTATAATCAATACAAGTACAGGAGAATGCATGAATACAAATATTACAGTCATCACACCTTATGCTACATGCACAAGGATCATGAATCCGAACATCATAAAATGTAATTTCTCTTGAAATAACAGCCTTCGAAACTGACCACTGTTTCTTAGGCTCGATTTCAATTACCTGATATTCAGGCATACTCATACTCTGTCTGTGTCGCTTACGAATTTCTGTGACCCTAGTTGTCAATTTATGACGTTCTAAAGATATTGCACGATTCATCAGTTTCCTTGCAATAGCATTTAACACCAAAGATAAAGAATAATCTAGTCTCTTTATCACCTTTGCGTTACCATGTTCATACTTAAGCTGCTTGTGCCACCTTTCAACTTTCATATTTGTATTAACCCCTAATCCAATTCGATAGCAATAGGCCCATTTCTCAGGCTGAGACATATAATTTTTGTAGAAATATTCTCCAAAAGCTTTTGTTTCTTCATTAGACAAACAGCTGGTGACAAAGATATCCGAAATTCTTTTGAAAGACACTATGTCAATTTCGTGCATTATTTGCACTAACTCATTTGCAATTTTTAACCTTAAGTCACTGTTTTTTATTTTAGATAAGTTTTTATTCCATGCTCTGCGAACATGCCAGCTACACAAAAGACACTTATCAACTTAACCAAAAACTTGACACCATGCATTATAAAATGCCGGAGCATCGTCTGACATGAAAACCTTAGGTTTAAGATTAGGAACTCTATCTTTAATAGCTGAAAAAAATGGTATAAAAGTTTGTGTGCTGTTATTTTTGATGAATACAAAATAGCAACAGGAAAACCTTCATGATTATCATCATTGACAAGTACAGAAGTTAATTGAAATCCATACTGATTCATACCATGAGTAGAGTCTATCATAATACAGCTGCTGTTTAATTCCAGCAACCTAAGTTGGGCACCATTCATAACCCCTAAAAGGAAATCATCCCTTGATACACCTTGAAAACCTGGCAGTTCGTCACCAACTTTCTTGTACAACAAAATTGGACAACCAGATTCAGCTTTCATTTTCTGGACTTTTAAGTCCACCGATACTGCATCATTAGTGTCAAAAACAATTTCATTATTTACCTGAATACCTCTAGAAATATTTTGTAAATCTTTTAAGTGAGTAACACCAATTCTTTTTGTTGGTGAATAACTACTTTGAATGGACATTAAAATCTTTTCTTTTGGAATACCTTGCTGCATCATACCTGCTAATTTAGATTTTTCAGTTTTTGAGAGCGGCAATTTCCCAACTTCATGCCTATGACCAACATGCACTGATTGGTAACTAACTTTAATTTCAAAAATATCCCCGATCTCTTTCTCTGACACTTTTATTTCAGCAGGACATGTTTTCCCTATTTTAATTGAACCTCCACATTTCATGTGACGTATTCTGTCAGTTTTTATTTTACATGAACCACTTCTATTACATAAGAAATAACTACGAATTGTCCCATCTGCCAAACGTTTAGTCGTTCGTTTGGCAAAAAAGGACTGACTACTTTTTTCAACATCTTCTTTCCAATTTTCGAATTCAGATTTAGAATGAAAAATAAGTTCCTGAAAATTTAACCTTATATCTGTATGGACAGAATCTATGTGGTCATGCAACTCTTTCATAGAAGTAAACCTTTCATTACACAGAGTACAATCTCTTTCATTATAAGTTTCCAACTTATGTTCAGAATGAAAATTTCTTATGTGTCTATATAAATTACTTTTAACAGAAAATGAGCAGTCACAAGAAGCACAACAAAACCTAGAACTTATCGATGACATATTAGTATATAAAATATTCTTAGTGTTATTAGTTTAACAACATAAGAACTCTGTAGTTATCAGAAAAATACAAATGGCAATCTAAATAGGAACACTTGAAAAAACAGTAATATTTAGATGATTTTTAAATTGCATCAATACACAGAGTCATTATCATGGTGTGTATATATAAATATGCTGTAAATAGCAGCTGTATAACTTAGCGCATAATATTCATAACAAAAAACCAAAATTATTGTACGGAAATATATATCAATAATGCTGTATTTAAAATCAACCAAGCATAAGAAACAGTTTTGCAAAAAAAAAAAAAAAAAAAAAAAATACTTTTCAGTTTCTTCTGTACCTATGAAAAATAAAAATTGGTACTCGAAGTAAGTATTCCCAAACCAGAGTTTTTACATAGAAAAAAAGGTAATTAATGGAAATGTTTGTTACCCAAAAAGTAAAAAATCAAACTTTAATAACGCCCAGTAATTAATTAAGGATAAAAACAGTGCTGAATATATATGCCTTATTACTTCTGAAATAATAATCAAGTTAAGCACGATAATAAACAGAAAATTAACTTGCAAAATCTGAAAGGAAAACCTGAAAAAATTTACTTGTAAAACCTGAAAAGAATATTGTAAAATCTTAAATTAGCTCACAGATAAGCAAAAGATATAGTAAATAACTTGTAAATTTGAAAAAAAAAATAATAACTTGTAAAATCTGAAAAAAACCTGAAAAAAAAATTAACTTGTCAAACCTGAAAAAAATAACACGTAAATTCTGAAAAGAATATTGTAAAATTTTAAATAACAGCTAAAAGAATATTGTAAAATATTAAATAAGAGCTACAAAAATAAGCAGAGAAAAAATGCTTTACTTGAAGCGCACACCGCAAAATCTGAAAGGAAAACCTGAAAAAAAAAATTAACTTGTCAAACCTGAAAAAAAAAATTAACTTGTCAAACCTGAAAAAAATAACTCGTAAATTCTGAAAAGAATATTGTAAAATTTTAAATAACAGCTAAAAGAATATTGTAAAATATTAAATAAGAGCTACAAAAATAAGCAGAGAAAAAATGCTTTACTTGAAGCGCACACCGCAAAATCTGAAAGGAAAACCTGAAAAAAAAAATTAACTTGTCAAACCTGAAAAAAATAACTCGTAAATTCTGAAAAGAAAAGTGTAAAATTTTAAATAACAGCTAAAAGAATATTGTAAAATATTAAATAAGAGCTACAAAAATAAGCAGAGCAAAAGTGCTTACTTTTGAAGCGCACCGCAACAGTCAAGAGCAAGAATGAATACCACACTCTCTGCCGGTTTCCCCTCGCCACGATCAACCTTCCACACCGCTGTTTCAAGTGGACTTTACCAGGCGGCAAAGATCAAAAGGATCTGGTTGGGATTTGAGATTGTAGTGTCTCTCGCCTCGCGCATGCCAAGATACCATCCAGGCGAACTAGTGATTTGTCCTGAGTCAAAATTCGAAAGTGGGTAGGTTTGGAAATACGCTTCCGGAGGGACGAAACTGGAATCAGCAGATGCGGGACTATGCGGGGGGCGGTCATGCAAAATAGCCATCCTTGGCATTTTTTAGTAAAACGTTGAATCAGACACAAAGGAATTATACAGCTACAGAGAGAGAAACATTAGCCGTATTAATGGCTGTACACAAATTTCGAGTTTATTTCGGCAAAGCGCCAGTAACAGTCTTTTCGGATCATGCGGCTGTTGGTAGACTTTACTCGGGGAAAAAACCTAACGCCCAGGTTAATAAGATGGGCTTTAAAACTCCAAGAATATAATCTCAGAAATAAAATATAAACCGGGTAAGGAAAACAATGTAGCTGACGCACTTTCTCGTATAAAACTGGACGATGAAGGAAATGAACTTAAATGCGCGGTGTTGACTTCAAAAATTTTAGATTCTAGAGATACCATTATCACTGAACTGAAAGCTGATCCTGAATTTGGAAATATCTATGCATATTTGAAAGACCCCGAAAGCTTTTGAGCACACAGATATCGATGCGATAAGAAATAGAGCAGAAAACTATGAAATAATAGATAATTTATTATTTTATACGAAAACAACAAACGAAAATCTCGAGTACAAACCAGTCATCCCAGCCTCGCTTCGATTAAGCATTTTGAAGGAATTACACGACGCGAAAACAGCGGGTCATTTAGGGGTCAGAAAGACTTTAAAAAGGGTACGCGAGGCGGTATATTTCCCGCAATTATACAAAATAGTAACTGCGTATGTCAGGTCCTGCAATCAATGTCAGTTAATAAATGATATTAATTACAGCCCGGCCGGGTACTTAAATAGCATTCGCGCTACATTTCCGAATGAAATTTTAGGCATAGATCTCCTTGGTCCCTTCCCCCAGAGCGAGTTAAATAAAAATCGTTTTCTTTTAGTAATAGTAGATCATTTTTCAAAATGGACAGAAATTGTTCCACTTAAAACGCGCGTCAGCCAAAACAGTCGCAGATGCATTCTTACACAGATACATTTTAAAATACGGTGCACCGATAAAAGTCATTAGCGATAACGGAAAACAATTCATTAGTCAAATATTTGAAAACATATGCAACTGGACTTGGCATACGCCATATCAAATGGTTCCGTATAGACCACAGGCAAACATAGCAGAAAGAGTGAATAAAAACATAGTAAAAATAATTCGCAGTTACGTTAGCACAACATCACAAGCGCTGGGATGGCTACATAAATGAATTAGCTTATGCTTTAAGAAGAGCAAATCATGATACTACGGGAAAAACTCCAGCAGAATTATTTTTAGGCAGAAAGTTAATTACGCCTTTAGATAAATTATTCTTTGTGCAACAACAAAGAGAGCATTAGATTTCAAACAAAAAGATGTGCAAAAACTTATTGATCAGGCGGCTTAAAAGCTCGGATACGGCAAGAAATACAGCAAAAATTTACTTTATTACGATAGAAAACGCCGTGAAGCAGATTTTAAAGTTGGGGATAAAGTATTAAAGCGGAAATTTTCTTTATCAATTATATTAGTGCCCCAGACAATTTTACTGCTACAAAGCTATTGGCTCCAAAATTTGAAGGCCCCTATGTAATTCAGGAAATCAAAGGAGTCGTATTGTACCTTAAGAAACGAGAGAGGGAAATCTGTAAAGCAAGTCCCTACCAGGTGAAAAAATACTATAATCCAAATGATTTTGAAATCCTTAAAAGTTTCTTGCAGGGACTCAAGCCTAAACGAAGTAGAAGGTCCAGAATAACGCAACAAGCCGTTCCACCACCCAAGAAGCAGAGAACTGAAGAGAGACCTAGCCTTTCTACAACCCAGACGACGGTACCAAAAAGAAAAAATGAAAACTTTCAAACTCCAGCATTTAAGAAAAACAAGAATGCAGATCAACCGCGTAAAGAAACCTTGGTTAAGAAGAAGAAGATTAAGGCATTCCCCCTATCGAGAACTCAATCTCATTCCGGGTCCACTCCCCCTTCGGGCACATCATGGTAGTTCAACCTCCACTATTACCCTCCAGGAGAGCAGCGCACCACCTGGGACGCACCCGAGGCAGCACCGGTCGTCTAATGCACCTACCAGTCGCTTGGGCGAGCCCGTCGCAGCGGGACATTACCAGCGACCCCGGGTTACTAGAACCACGCCGCGCTAGGACGTGCCAGACTCCGGGGCCGGCCAATAAGTGACCTTTCCCAGAGCCTTCAGAACCACCAAGTTCATAAATTTTATACCCCCGTGGCCGAGACTGCCTAGGTACAGATCCTAACCAGTAGCTTCGCAGAGTTCTCTACGTCGACCCCCGGGGGGGACCTTGGTTAAGAGGAAAACACCACCTACAACGTATCGCAGTAGAAATTATACATCAAGGAAAGCGCTCCCAGGGCCAGAGAGTCAGGTGCAAGCAAGGCCGCCGTTCCGGAAACTGAAACGGCAGCAGGAGGAACGAAAATACCAAAAACAACAGAAGAAATTCAAGAAGGACTCCAGACCGGAGGACGTCAAGACCAGCCGTCCCATGGAAAAAAAAACGAAAAACGACAACAACCCGACGATTACTCCGCCAAGAGGCCAGCATGCAGAGGACGCAAAAGAAAAACTAATGTGGACGACACTCGGAGGTCAGTAAGGAGAAGATTGACGTCCATGAAACCTATAACATGGGAACAATTTTGACAGAAAAGAATGACGGAGTTTCAATCATCGAAAACTCAAAGATAAGTTAAAATCTTCTATAATTTTTTTTTCTTTTGTTCCGAAATGTTATGGATAAGTACGAAGTTCTATGTTTTGACGAAAGTCAGTATGTCTCGGTTGAGACTTAGTTTTGTTTTACTTTATTTAGCTAAGGCAAAAGTATTATTTTCTTTAAGTATAAAAGCTAAGAACAAGCATTTTCTGTTGGTCGAAAGACTAATTCTGTTATGTTAAAGCCAAAATTTGGGCCGAAGATAAAAATAACTTCGTATTCTTGTATTAATAAGAATTTTAGTTTCAGTGCCGCCAGCTTGGCGAAGAATGAGTAAAGTAAAAATTTATTTTCTCTTATTCATTTTTATGGTAAATTGTAAAAATCATATGTATTAAAATTTTGTAAATGTACGTAAATACTTGAATGTTATGTAAAAGTAGAATTTAGTCTAGAAGCATAAAATTTTAGATGCTAAAAGTAAAATGCTGAAAAGCAATGAATTCAGAATTTAAGTATTAAACTGTAGATAAAATCATGCTTTAGAGCGAAAGCCTGCATGTTTAAAGATGAATGAGGGGGAAGTTAGAATGAATGTGTTTTGTAGGGTTCTCCACCTACACTTGAATTTCTAAGAATGTTAAAGTAGCTCATCGTGTTGTAGAATGTCGAGTAAGGTGTGTCTATTTGGTCGTTGAATTCTAACAAATCATGGTGGTTAGGGGAAGTGTTGTAAGACTAAAACACGAATATTCCCGTTTGACACCACACATGGTGGAGAGCCAGGGTAAAGTTAAAT